AGGTGATGATGTGGTGGGGTCAGCTGGAGAAATAGGTGGGTCAATGGGATAAAAAGAAGAATGGTTGGCTGGAGGGTTAGGTGTGGCTGGAGATATAGGATCATCTTGGCTTGAAAGTGTGTGGTTGGGTTCAGGGGAAAAAGTTGGGTTGGTTGGAGGAAAGTCATATGGGCCCAAGGTTGGATGACATGGATCAAGGTCTGCTATATGTGGTGTGGGTAGGACAGGCAATTGGACTGATGGTGTGGTTGGGCTGAGAGTGTGGAAAGGGAAATTGTGCTCAAAAAAGTTAACATCCCTGTTGATGAAAATTTTGTGAGTAGTGAGATCATACAACTTGTAAGCTTTTTGCCCACTAGGGTACCCTAAAAAAATGCTCTTCTTGGCACGAGCATCAAATTTGGATGTGGGATGATTATTGGTGGCAAAAGCAAGACACCCAAAGACTCTCATATGTTTATAGGAAGGTGGTTTCCCATATAATTTTTCAAAAGGAGTTTGATGGGCTAATAGTTTGGTGGGAATTCGGTTAATGATATGAGCAGCGGTAAGCACTCCTTCTCCCCAAAATCGAAGAGGAAGGTGGGCTTGAAAAAGTAAAGCCCGAGCCATTTCAATGAGATGGCGATGTTTGCGTTCTACGACCCCGTTTTGTTGGGGAGTGTAAACGCAAGATCGTTGGTAAATGACCCCATGATCTGTGAAAAAATTGCGAAGGGAATAAAATTCTCCCCCATTGTCCACACGTATCTGTTTGATTTTGGTGTTGAACTGTGTTTGGGTATAGGCAAAAAAAGATCGAAGGTGCTCTTGTGTGTCACTTTTATTGTGCATGAGGAAAATCCATGTAAACCTTGTAAAATCATCCACCACAGTCAAAAAATAATGTGCCCCGGATAAAGAGGCGATTTTATGTGGACCCCAAATATCACAGTGAATGAGTGCGAAAGGGTGTGAGGAGGTGATGGAACTATTAGTAAATGGGAGTCGTGTCTGTTTGGCCAAGGGACAAATATCACAAATATTATTTGAAGAACAAGGAAAATTTAACAATGTTTTGGACATAAAATTTAAGCGGGCCAAAGATAGGTGACCCAAACGGCGATGCCATAAATCTGCGGAAGCTGAAGCCAAATGACAAGATGGATCAGATTTATTTGGGGAGGAGTTTGGAGAAGCTAACGCTGCTAAATAGTACAAGCCTCCACGTCGCTTACCCAGACCAATCGTCCTCCTCGTAGCCAAATCCTGCAAAACACACCAGTGTGGAAAGAAAGTCACTGAACAAGATAAATCCTCTGTAATCTTACTCACAGACATCAAGTCAACTTTGAATGTGGGAACCCCCAACACATCTTTTAAAAATAAATATGAATTTATTGGTAAAGTGCCAGTAGCAGTAATTGGAGCCTGGTCTCCGCTTGGTAACTTCACAGGTGGCATGGTGGAATGCTTCACATTTGTGAGCAAATGAGGGGAAGACGTGATATGATCTGTCGCCCCGCTGTCAATAATCCAATCAAGTGTTGTAGAGCAAGTTTTAAACAAACCTGAACTGGCAAGATTTGCTTGGGAATCAGGCTGTGAATCACTTTCCTTCTCTTTCAGGACTGAACATATTTGCTTATATTGTTGATTGGTGAGGTTGGGCATCACGGCTTTCACATCATAAAAACTAGGATTTGCATCCACATGGTTTGCTGAAGAAGATTTATTGCGGCCCCCACCATCTTTTGATTTGTTATTGCCTCCTCCCGATTTGTGTAGTCTATGCCATGAAGGATAGCCATGCAATTTCCAACATGTTTCAACAACATGGTTTGTATCCCCACAATGAGAACAAAGGAACGGTTGTTGGCTGAAACTGGAGTTGGGTAGCGACTGATTGGGCCTGTATTGCTGCTGCTGCTGTTGTTGGCCAATATTAGGCCGTTGATTATTGTTGGCCCGATGTTGTTGCTGACTGGATCGCACCACCATCGCGGCACTTTCAGCTACAACCCGTGCAGAACCTAATTCTCTCTGTTTTTCCTCTTGCGAAACCAACGCATATGCTCTACGAAGGCTTGGCAAAGGATTCATAAGTAAAATCTGCCCCCTTACAGCACTGTAGGATTCATTTAAACCCATTAGGAATTGCATGAGAGCATTGCGTTCCTCTCGTTCATGATGCTTCTTCATAGCACCACATGAACATGTTGGCGAATCGTTGTAAGAAGCCAATTCATCCCACAACCCTTTCATCTTGGTGAAATAGCCAGCGATAGACATCTGCCCTTGATGGAGAGAAGCAATATCTCGTTGTAGTTGGAAAATCCTCGGTGCGTTGCTTTGAGAAAATCGCTCCTTCAGGTCCTCCCAAATCTCATGTGCCGTTGTCGAGTAGATGACGCTATCGGCGATCTCAGGTTCAATGGAATTAAGGATCCATGAGAGCACCATATCATTACACTGTAACCAGCGAGAGTAATGATCTGGATTGCTCTTCTCTGACGGTATTTGCACGGTCCCTTCAACGAACCCTAGCTTATTTTTTGCGCCAAGGGATAAGCGAATTGACCGGCACCACGTTGTGTAATTATCGCCGTTAAGGAGTTTGGGAACAAGTACCATGCCCGGATGGTCACTGTGATGAACAAAAAAAGGATTGCTGGCGTCATTTGCACCACCATCCTTGGAGGCACCAGAACCTCCATCTTTCTTCGTAGGCTTGCTCTGCTCGTCGTCTCCCATGGAGAAGTAGCGAAACAAGAAAAATATCTAAATTTTGTTTAAAAAGAGAACGGCAAAAGGAAAAAAAAACACAAGAGCTAGGGTTTTTCCTGCTCTGATACCATGTAAAATTGTTATAGAAGATATTGTGCCGGAATAAATAATTCTATTGATTGTACAACGTTCTTATACAGGGAGAATACAAGCCTAACTAGGAAAATATACATAGCCTAACTAGGAAAAGAATTGTACAGCAATTCTAGGAAAAGTCAAATAATTACAAAGAAGGTTTTCCTATTCTAGTTCCCGTAGAATCGGGTATTGATTACTTTCCAACAGTTTTTTTGGTCAAAAACGGTCCCATGTTTTGTCCAACCCCCCACCTGCCCTGGTTTCCCTTAGACTAGGACACCATGAATGAGTTGAGCAGATTTTTCCTGCCCGTTAGGCAACGGTAGAGATGTTGTCGTTGTTGGTTTAGGTGAATCTGAAATCTGGAGCTTAACAAAGGGACTGTAAATCTCAGATATATGTAGCAGATAGTAATGCTCTTGTTGCTTATTTGTTTTTCTTTTTTCATGGCTTTCGAGTCGAGACGGTTTAATCCCATCCGTTGAAACTTCACAAGAAGGCAAATTGAAAGAAACAAGATAATCATTTTGTTTTGAACAAGCTCAGATTATTTGAGTACAAACTCAAAGAAACAAGGTAACATTTTGTTTCGACTGGGCATAAGTTGAACAAGCCCAGCTCGTTGATTTGAAAAGACAATAAAGGATGATGATCTGCTTTGAGAAGTCCATTACTTTAAATATACAAGATAATAGAAGGTCATTTTGCTTTACCACACTGCAATACCAAACGCAGCGGGTAGGGTCTGTCTGTCCACAAGTAGTTAGTAATGATTTGCTGATATGTGAATTTATGTAATGTTTGCTACATGCCACAAAAATAAAATATAAAAGATACATGATATTCCAAGACTAACTAGAGCACAATTAAATCAACTATGAAACCAGAAAGCACACTTCTGATTTCTTGGATCTCAAAATAGTTAAACAATACGGTAGAATATTTTCAGATGTATTTCATTCTCCGAAATGAGGTATTTATAATACAAGGTTACTAACCCTAGTAGCGTCAAACTGGGAAAACAAGTGGAATCTTAATTACATAATATTTATATAAAAGGAAATAAATAAAATAATATCCTAATAGAATAGGATATCTCTTGCTAACACTCACCCTCAAGTTGGAGCAAAGACGTCACGCATGCCCAACTTGTCAAGCGAGTTGAGAAATATACTTGTAGAAACAGCTTTCGTAAGAGCATCGGCTAACTGGTACTCAGAATGGATGAACGGAAAGGAAACAATCTCTGCATCCAACTTTTCTTTAATGAAATTTCGATCAACTTCCACATGCTTTGTACGATTATGTTGTACAGGGTTATGAGCAATTGCAATCGCAGCCGTATTGTCACAATATAAATCCATGGGTTTCTTAGGCCCAAAGCCAAGGTCTCTCAACAATCTCCTCAACCATAGTAACTCATATACACCATGGGCCATTCCCCGATACTCGGCCTCAGCACTAGATCGAGACACCACCTTTTGTTTCTTGCTCCTCCACGTAACAAGATTTCGACCAACAAACATAAAATACCCAGATGTCGAGCGCCTATCTGTAGCTGAACCAGCCCAATCAGCATCTGTGTACCCTTCCACATCTGTATGACCATACTTGGAAAAAATTAACCCCTTGCCAGGAGTTACTTTCAGATACCTTAAAATACGAGTCACAGCCCCCATATGATCTACACTAGGAGAGTGCATAAACTGACTCACCATACTTACAGCATATGCAATGTCCGGACGGGTATGGGCTAAATAAATCAACTTCCCCACAAGTCGTTGATAACGTTCCTTATCAGTCGGAACTTGATCGGGATATAACCCCAATAGAGTATCAATGGGTTTACAATCCAACATTCCAGTTTCTGCAAGCAGGTCCAAAACATACGTTCTTTGGGACATAAAAATACCATGCTTAGATCTGGAAACTTCAATCCCAAGAAAGTATTTCAAGTCACCTAATGATTTCATCTCAAATTCAGACGCAAGATATTTCTGAAGACTTTGTATTTCTACCTGATTATCTCTAGTTACAATCATATCATCAACATAAATTATTAAGGCTGTCAATTTACCTCTGCGACGTTTCAGAAACAAAGTATGATCCGAGTTACTTTGTACATACCCAGACTTCCTCATAGCTGCAGCAAACCTCCCGAACCAAGCTCTTGGAGACAGCTTTAATCCATACAATGATTTCCGTAGCTTGCATACCATACCCTCCTTAGAGGTCACAAGGATACCCGGCGGAGGATCCATGTATATTTCTTCTTTGAGGTCACCATGGAGAAATGCATTCTTGACATCAAATTGTAACATCGGCCAATCATGATTAGCAGCTAAGGACAAGAGTACGCGTACACTGTTGAGCTTGGCTACTGGAGCGAAAGTCTCTGTGTAATCCACTCCATAGGTATGAGTATACCCTTTTGCTGCCAATCTTGCCTTGTAACGGTCAATAGAACCATCAGCCTTATGCTTCAAAGTAAACACCCATCTGCACCCAACAGCATTTTTCCCTTTTGGTAAAGGAACTAACTCCCAAGTAGTATTCTTGTTCAAGGCTTCCATCTCAATATGCATTGCATCTACCCAGTTTTGATCAGATAGAGCATCCTGCAACTTAGTTGGCACACATACACTAGATAATTGACCCAAATATGTTGCATATGACTTAGATAAACGATGAGTTGACATATAATGGTTAATGGGATATTTGGACTTGGCATGTATATCAGGAGAATATTGTATTTTAGGTTTCCCACGGGTAGTGCGTGGGGGCAATGAATAAGTAGGCACATCACTAGAAAGTACCTCATTATCATGAGTTGATTGGGGCAGTGGCAAGGCAGAGGGGGGTCCTGTATCAATTTCATCTGTACGAATGTACAAGAGTCGCTAGTATCATTGTTATGTCCTTCTGAGAGAGACTCGAAAAATTCCAAAATATCACCTTGCGACCGGTCGTGGCATTCCTGGAGATCGGTTGCTTCACTCGTATCGTCATTGTCGTCGCTCATCGACGCAGGCGACCGGTCGCTTTCAGGCAGATTTGTTAGCGACCGGTCGCTCACTTCTATGCGACCAGTCGTATCCAGGTAGATGCGTTCACGACCGGTCGCTTCCTCCATGCGACCGGTCGCTTCCTGTACTTCAGAAATTCCTTCTTCAGGTCCAACATCTTCCACATTTTCCACTCTGAAACTCTTCAATTCACTCCCCTTCTCCTCCTGAATTGAAGAGGAGGGGGAAACATAATAGGGTATTTCTTCATGAAATGTGACATCCAAAGTGACATGTACCTTCTCAGTAGGCGGGTGATAACACTTATAACCCTTTTCAGTAGTAGAATAGCCAATGAAGACGCAACGGAGAGCACAATGATCAAGTTTACTCCGTTGATGGGAGTAGACATGAACATAAGCAACACACCCAAACACCTTCGGAGGTAACTTGGAGACCGAAATCGGAGGAGTATGGGCACACAACACATCAAGCAGAGTCTTGAAATCAAGAACCCGACTAGGAGTACGGTTAATCAAGTAGGCCGCAGCCAAGACACCACGTCCCCAAAGATGATGGGGAATAGACATATCCAACATAAGAGAGCGGGCAACTTCAAGTAACTGACGATTATTCCTTTCAGACACGCCATTCTGTTGAGGAGTGAATGGAGTGGTAGTTTGGTGAATGATACCGTGATCACGAAAGAACTGGTTCAAGGTATGATTCACATATTCACTGCCATTATCGGTCTGAAATACTTTAACATGAGCATGAAACTGAGTAGACACCATGGCACAAAAATCAGGGAGAATAGAGGCAACATTATGTTTGTTCTTCATCAAATACACCCATGTTAAGCGAGTGCAGTCATCAATAAACGTAACAAACCAACGGAAACCATGAGAAGTCACACGAGCAGGACCCCAAACATCAGAATGGACTAACTCAAAAGGCAAAGCAGCTTTATTATTACTTAAGGGAAAAACAGTACGGTGACTCTTGGCCATTACACAAGTCTCACATTTGAAACTAGACCCATCACAGAAGCGGAATAAAGATGGAAACAGACGCTTAAGGTAGCCAAATGACGGGTGTCCCAAGCGACGATGCCATAACCAAATTTGCTGTTTGTCTTTGATACTGCAACATTGAACAGTATTAACGACACGATCACGAACTTGTGCAGAAGGTAATTGTTGCATTCCTAAAAGGACACAAATTAATGTGCAAACAACCAATTAAAAATACCCGCAAGTGCACGAATCTAATGA